AACTCAGGATGCATGAAAACGGGACCACGCGTAGGTGCAACCGTTCCTAGCGATTTTGTGCATTTTGCACCTCGCATAATTTTGTTTACATACGGCGTCACTTTATTGGTACAACGTGTAATTTTAGAACAAATTTTTATGAATCCCACATACGTCATTAAAAACGAGATATAAAAAATAATTTGAATCGTATAATTTTTTTGAATCAAATCTCGACCGTAAACAGCTCAGGAGCAGTCATCAGATGGACCGCTCTGCCCCTCATCCATGAAAACGTGCTTCAGCCTGCAGGCATCAAGGAAGGACGAGGACAACAAATCTTTTAAGAATTTTTGAAAAGCGTGCTCATCATTCTTCCCGAAATTAGGGGCAGGAGCAACTATTCCTGAAGTTAAATACCCATTTGTTTGGAAAGCAATTTATTTGGCCAAATATATTTGCTTACATCATTATTACAATTTCCAATATACCTTTTTATCTTCCCAATTATTTTTTTATCTCACATACATCACATCACAAAAAATGCTACAGTAAAAATATTTCAAATAATTTACAATCCAAACATAGCGCTTGATTGGGCTCTCAACTCACAACAAAGTGTTCTAAACTTACATTTTGTGTTACAATTAATTTGCATAATATATAATCAAACAAATTTACATTTTATTGAAATGCGCAAAATCGGTCGACAACGCTTGCACTGCAAGTTTTCCCGCCTTCCCAGCTCCTTTCCCTATCTTTTTCTTTCTGACAAGTCAACTCTGGCGGCCAGCAGAAGACTGCGGTCCACTGGGAGAACGGCATTCTTATTAGTTCTTAGTAGTCGCAGTACTCGGACAGAAATACACAGAAAAATCGAAGGAAATGACGATGGCAGCAAGCAAGGTTCATGTTCTAGCTCTGCCATTACCTGTCCAGGGCCACATAAACCCCTTGCTCCAATTCTGTAAACGTTTGGAGGCAAAGGGTGTCAAAGTCACCTTTGCCAACACTGTCTCCCTGTCCGAGTCTATGCACGCCGATCCTAAGAGGTCAATTAACTTTGAAACCATTTCAGATGGCTACGACGACGGTGGCTATGCAGCAGCTGAAAGCTTCGAGGCCTACGTGGAAAAATTTGCCACCGTCGGCTCGAAAACCTTGGCTGATCTTATCACGAAACTAGAAGACGATGGCGCACCAGTTCAGGCCGTGATTTATGATCCACACTTGACATGGGCTCTTGATGTAGCTAAGCGGTTTGGACTTGTTACGGCTGCTTTTTTCACTCAAACTTGTGCTGTAAACAGCATCTACTACCATGTTTATCATGGGCTTCTACCGGTCCCTCTTTCAGACTCACCTATTTCCCTTCCTGGATTGCCGCTGCTCCAACCAAAGGAAACTCCGTCCTTTATCTACCTTCCCGATTCGTATCCTGCTTTTCGTCACATACTTGTCAATCAGTTCTCCAACGTTGATCAAGCAGATTGGGTCATCCTCAGCAATTTCCACAAATTGGAGGAAGATGTAAGCATTTCATCCTCTCGTGCTAGTTATATCTACTGCACAGTAACAGTAAATCAACCAAATAGTATATTATGATTGAACAGGTGCTGAATTGGATGGCGAGACTTTGGCGAGTGAAGACAGTGGGTCCAACAGTTCCATCCATGTACTTGGATAAACGCCTTGAGGATGATACAGGTTATGGGATCAATCTCTACAAGCCAGACTCGAGCTTGTGCATCAACTGGCTAGACAATCAGCCGAAGGACTCGGTTGTTTATGTGGCATTCGGTAGCTGGATAGGGATCGAAGCAGAACAAGTCGAGGAAATAGCTTCAGCTTTGATGGAGATCGGATTCAGATTCTTATGGGTGGTGAGGGCGCTTGAGAAGGAAAAGCTACCAAGCAACTTCGTTGATGAGACGTCGGAGAAAGGGTTGGTGGTGACATGGAGTCCACAGCTTGAGGTATTAGCACATGAATCGGTTGCATGTTTCGTTACCCACTGTGGGCTCAATTCGGTGATGGAGGCATTGAGTTTAGGCGTGCCGGTGGTGGCAGCGCCGCTGTTAACGGACCAGCCCACCAATGCTAAGTTTATTGAGGACGTTTGGGGGGTTGGTGTGAGGGCTGCAGCGGATGAGAAAGGCATTGTGAGAAGGGAAACGTTAGTTTCCTGTATAAGGGAGATTATGGAGGGAGAAAGGGGCAAGCAAATCAAAGAGAATGGCATTAAATGGAAGACTTTAGCTAAGGAAGCTATTGATGAGGGTGGGAGTTCTGATAGGAATATTGATGAATTTGTAGCCGAATTAATTAGCGGTGCCGGACAACCAGATGCTTGACAAATTGGAGATTTTCCATTGTTCTTGCTTTTCTACTTTTATCGTTTAGTAGTTTTTCATTTTTCCCAATTTAAGAAAAGAAAGTAGTTTTATGTTTCTTGCTTGTAAATTGTAATGTCTCTCGTGTATTTTGCTGTGTGCGATGAGGCTGCGACGAACTTGTGAAAGTTTATCAGGAGAGGAATATTCTAATGAACTTGTGCCTCGATTGAAATCTTCTACTACTCCCTCTCGGTTTTTTTTTTTTTTTAAATTTTTTTTTTTGTGTACATCTTGTTCTTCTTCTTGTGTTTCGTTTTCCCGTGGTGGAACTTTGTTAGGTTTTGTTGACTATTATTCTGCCACTAATTACATATCAGTCAAAGTCAGGAATGGCCATAGCTAAGAGAAAGTTCAAACAGACGTTTGTAATTTTTTGTTTTCTGGGAAAAAAAAAATATTCTTGTGGGACACAAAAGCATCACGACGACTCAGAAGGCGTTGGGGGGCATTCTGGTATTGCCTGACGTTATCAGTTGGAAAACACCTATATTCTATATTTTGGTCGTACCAATGAAGCGATACTCTATATTCTAACCAAGACGTAGCATCTCATCTCATGTACTAATAATTTATTACTATATCCGAGGTTTTCATGCATGTCTCATCTTCGCACAGACACAGTTAACACTTGACTCGACCGACAAATGACTCCGATCAGATGTTGGCCGTCGAATTGTTTAAATCTCTGATCATTACAAGCCTTGCACCGCCGGTCCAACACCGTTCTACGTCCTCGTGTCCCAATAATTTATGTAGAAAGCGCCACCCGCGGTCAGCAAAGAATTCTTTAAAGCGTTAAGTCGGCTGCTTGCTTGAAAGATATTCTTTTTGTTTTCGGCGATATATTGATTACCTCGAAAGATTGTCAAGTCGACCGTTTACTTGAAAAGATCCTTTTTTGGCAAACCAAAGTACGATTACTTTGAAAGATGGGACAGCATCATCACAACATATCCCATCCTATATTCCTATTCCCTTTTAACTTTTCTTCTTATAGATATTGTAGACTTTTTTGGGGGCTTACGGCCTTCAACAATATTGGGTTACACACTTAAGTCCATTCATCTTCGCATGAAACAAGGTATTTATAAAAATTTTAAAAAAAAGTATTAATCATTCTCCCAACGAAATATATATCTCAAATAATAAATGACCAAAATGATCACCAAATTATTCAAAATGGCACGAGTTAATTACCCAATTTTTTTTTTTTTTGTGGTGAACAAGGTCGCTCGACTCTCTACAACGAGTATTTAAAATCATTTTGACCAATTTAGTCAGTAAACCAACCGGAAGAAAAAACAGAGAAAAGCAAACTTGATTTGCTATTATAGGTTTAAGGTATTGTACTATTTAATAACTAGAGAACGGAAGAACTAAAGAAATAGAACGAATCTCACAATTGATTGATTGATATCTCTGCCGGTTGAGCTGAATCTTAAAACCAAAATCCATGAATCATTTTTAAATTTATTGAAGATTTTAAACCTCACAAGGTTAGAGAGCAACACGGGAGCAGCCTTCTGATCATCCTGCCACTTGGATGGATTCCGCAGCATCAATGAGCTATTATATGTTTTTTTTTTTTTTATTTTCTTTCGCGCGTTACAGCTTACGTGGCATAATTCTGAGTTGCCGGCGGCCGCATCAATAAGAACTGACGCGACAAAATGACGACAACGGCGAGTTTAGGCGGTGACCAATTTGACCATTTCCTGGTACTCGAGGGGCATGTTTGTTGTCCACCGACACAACATAACAGAGTCGGATTTTAAAGGTAAACTAACGTAGTAGATGCGACCAATACTACAAAATTGGAACAGCGTCAGCCGCTTTAGATGAGCACCCTGTCAACCAAATCAGCTGAAGAGAAAAAGACCAGGTGCCATCTTCTTCTCAGAAGAAAGATGATGGGGGCGGGGCGGGGCTTTAAAAGATACAAATGGTCGAATCGAATCAACACAGCTCTTCAAGAAAACTCACTTGGCAAATTCTCAATCGGAAAGGAACGCTATAAATATAGCACAAGACTGTTTTAACAACTCAAGACCACCGTCTACACCAGTAGGCATGGTGGTTACCAGAGAATCTGATGAGTTTTCTTATAGCTTTGGTACTCAAATACCTCTCTTAAAAGCAAGGCTGGTAAGTTCTGCATAATGTATTTGGTATCCCTTGTATATCTAACTAACAACGAAGACTACATATTATTTGCTTTCCAGATAGTTGAGATACTTCTTCCGGCAGAAAAAGACGTGGATTTGGATTGTTATGTTTCAGACAACACTTCCGAGTGAAAATGCAACTTCAGCCTGTGCATCAGATTCGGGTAAATTGAGAGGGAGGAAGAATTTTGGGAAGACAGACACAAGTTCCATAAAACCTATGATGTCCTAAGAAAAATGGAAATGCCTGCATAACAGTGGGAAAGTACTGGAAACCACAAAACAAAAGAAATTGAAATTCTTTGCCTAGCCAAATGCATGCTAAAGGTTAAGCACTACTCGGCAGAGAATAACAAAGTGCGTGAGCAGAACCAAGGAGGGCAGATTTAGCACACGATAAATATATCATACAAATAACAACCACCAAAAAGAAAATCAAAATATCAGAACCTCTATCAAAGATAAACAGGATAACAAAATATTATAGAGTTAGTAAATAACAGAGTCTCATAAGAACTGAACCTTCAAAGGTACAGGAAAGGTAATCCGTTTTTTACTGCTGTCGGTCAGCTTAATCACTGCTTTCAATTTATGTATGTGTACATGTGCATGTCTCTAATTGTTCGTGTGTGTGTGTGTGTGCATGTCTCCATGCAAGTGTGCTTTCAAACTAGGCAGAGTGGCAGGATAGACGCTGTCCGCTAAGTGTATCGTTGCATGTCTTGCTCCCCTAATGAAGTTCCCAATAAAGTAGTAGGACATTTACCACAAGGTTTACTGACGAAAGGGAAGGCAGGGAACACACGAGAAATTTGTCACTTATGCGAAGTATATTTAGCTACCCCTACCCATATTATCTCTTGGGAATGAGGTATTAAAGAGGAAGATGGAAGAATAAAGGAGACATACGAGTGTGATATTACGAGGATAAAACTTGTAATGTCCATGCCTCGTTTGTTTCTCTCAGTTTTAACTATGAAACAATACACTGCTGTTCTGAAATTACACACTGCCATGGCCATCTGAGACTCTATTGGTTGTTGTGCCATATATTATCCAAGCCTTTTTGAAAGCATAACCATGCTTGAAAAATTGCGTCTTTCTGATGTAATACAGCCACAGAAGCATGCAATGCACCATCAGGGCAATATCGCGCTACAGGTTCCATAAAGGATTAAAGATAATAACAACAAATAATTAGCAACATTTTTTCAATAATAGTTAACAGTAAGCTTGCATCACACAACAGCACAATAAATCAAGTTTCAGCATGCATCATACAGCACTAGAGAAAATTCAATTTCGTATATGGGCTCCAGGTGAATCATATTCTTAGGTTCCATAAGTTAGCAAGTTTGGATGTATCAATGTGCATGAAGAATAATGGAAGAATCTGAGATTCAGGTTCAAAATCCCATCCAAAACCACACACACACACACAAAAAAAACCAAAAAACACCCAAAAAGAGAAAGGATGCTGGTGTAATTCTGGTGAATTCTACATATAACTCCAGAAGAGAGAGTGGGACAGAAGAGGTCTCAAGCAGAAACCAGAAAGGAGGAGAAAAGGAACCATGGACTTCATACCCTGTACATTAATACAGAATCACAAGAAGATTTTAAATTATAGCTTATATCCCCAGCTGGGCCTAACAGAATTTACAAGCAAAAAGAAGGTTAAACAAATGGAAAAATATAGTGAAGGCACAACAACAAAAACAAAAAACGCAGCACAGCATGCTAATAAAGCAAATTCAACATGAAAGCGAAAGAATACATCCACACAGAGCTACAGAGTGAGGAAAGTATGTCATAAACAAACTGCTCAGGCAAGCTAATGATCCCAACCCCAACATAGAAGAACTGCAATATCCAAATATATGCTGAGCCTTACACAACAATAACTTTAAATAAATGATACTATCATGAGAAAATGTCAAACAAGAGAAGAAAACTATATTGCCAAATGGAATTTCATAGCTAAGATGATATTTTAGCGACCTTGATAACCCAGAGAGGTATGAACTTCCTCTTGTTTGGAAGGTGCATTGGTGAACGTTGTCTAGCAAGCAGGGCCATGTTGCATAAAGTACAACGTTACAAAGGGTTCGTAGCATAAACTTTACCATAAGAATGATAAGACAGTTACCATAACAAAAGACAAAGGCAGAATCAACCCACAGATCACCCAACAATCTGGTATCACAGATCTAATCTAAGGCTTACACAACAATAAGAAGATATTCAGCAAAATCACATGCCACGTTATAAGTGATCCAGCATGATACCCAAAACTAATAACCAAACTGCTCACATGATTTATCAACATTTATTTGAAAATGAACAACTTTTGATAGTTACATATATATGGTTTCGTTAATACTATCTCACCTACTCATACCTTTATTGCATCTCTATTCCTTCACGAGCAACAATAAGCTCCTGTAGTTGATCTGCATCTCCATTTTCTGAAAGCACCAAAATGTCATCTTCTGTGGTGAAGTTATATCGCTGTCCAATGGCCCTTAAAAGCTGGTATACTTCAAACATTGTAGGCCTCTCCTTGGGTGCAGGCAGTACACAGCTACAGGCAACTTTGAGAAACTGGAAAAGCTCACCATCATAACCCTTTGCAACCAAAGACTGATCAATTGCATCGTGAAGTTTGGAGTTGATTGATAGATTGGAAATCCATTCCACCAGGTTTCCCTTAAAGCTTTCTGGTGCCTTTGCCACAGAGGTAGGCAGCTCTCCTGTAACCAACTCAAGAAGCACAACACCGAAACTGAAGACATCCCCCTTTGGAGTGGCCACTAGGGTTCTTGTATACTCAGGGGCAACATAACCCAAGTCACCAAATTCTCCATTGACAAAAGTACTCAAATGAGTGTCAATGGGGTTCATAAGCCGAGCAAGTCCAAAATCAGATATCTTGGGTTCAAAGTCAACATCCAACAAAATGCATTTGGAGCTTATATTTCGATGAATAATGCGAGGATTGCAATTATGATGGAGCCATGCAAAACCTTTAGCTGCTCGAACAGCAATTTTAAGCCTCAAAGGCCAATCCATTTTTTTGTCAGCATCATGTGGGAAATGCAGTTTATCATGGAGGGATCCATTCGGCATAAGCTTGTAGACTAAAAGCCTCTCTTTCTTAGCCATGCAAAACCCCAGGAGAGGAACCAAGTTGCGGTGCCTTATATTTCCTAATGTAGCCATCTCAGAAACAAACTCTTTCTCTGAGTGCTGAGTGTCCTGCAACCTCTTCACCATGAGTGATGTTCCATCCTCAAGTAATGCCTTGTACATAGCACCCGTTCTTCCAGACCCAATTATGTTGTTTTTGCTAAAATTGCTGGTGGCCTTCATTAAATCACTTAATCTCATTTTTGAAACTGATTTCTCAAACATTGAAAGCTGGAAATAAGAGGATTGGGTGTTATAATGATGGACTTACAGGTCATTAATAAGGACAACAAAATTACCATATAACACTAACTTATTCAATCAATTATGAGACATAGTTCAACTGAATATCAGTACAGTTATTCATGAGATTGTTAAGCGCTAACATACCTCGTACAGCATTGACACAAAACAGTTAAAACTAGCATGCAACTTGCATTCAGAAAATTCTTTGGATGTCAGGCGAATAGCCCAATGCATAATATTGTCATCTTACGACCGCAAGAGGCACAGATAGTCATCTTACCTTGGTGCCTTTGGCACCCTTAAGGCTCTTTGCCCATTTGTTTCCTTCAGGATCATCTTCCTTCTTCTTTCCAGGCAACCTACGCATAAAGAAGAACATTCCAAAACCAACCGCTAAAGCTGCAATGGTTACCCCACCAACAGCTGCCCCGACAATAATTCCTGTCCGTGGTTTCTTTGAAGGACCCTGGCACGCCGGCAGCGGACTCCCACATAGCCCTGGATTACTTGCATAGCTGTCTGCATTAACACTAGCATTTATAAACGTTGGAACAGGCCCAGTCAGCTGATTGTTTTTTACACTAAATGTCTTCAGTCGATCAAGTAGACCAATCTCTAGAGGAATATGCCCCGTTAGTTGGTTGTTGTCCAGCTTAAGACTGTTTAAAAATGAACAATTTGCAAGATCTTCTGGGATTTGTCCCGATAAATGGTTGGAGGACAGATCAAGAGTGGTAACAAACTTAATTATACTGGAGATGTCAGGTGGAATTTTTCCACTGATGTTGTTGCTGGAAAGATCTAAACCTGTCAGAGATGAGCAATTTGCAAGATCACGCGGAAACTCCCCCTTCAGTCCCATGCTCGAAAGTCGTACATTTAACACCTTATTCTCATCTGGATGCCAGCATTCAATTCCAGTAAACTTGCAGATAAAACCTTCGGTTGAATTGTCAAAATTCCATGTAGATAAGGAATTCAACGGATCTTCTAACGTCTGTTTTACAGCTCTCAGACAATCAACATCTCTCGGATTACCATTACTGAAAGAAGCATTGGCAAAAAACCAGGCAAGGACAGCAGCAAGAGCAGTAAGAGCTCGTCTATGGAGTGACATCCTCGTCAAGGCACAAGCAGAAACTAAATAGTCCAAGGGATGAAAAACTACTTATATGGTTGACTGGCACACAGAATACTTGTATATACAGATTTGGAAACTCCAAGCCTCATAAGGTCCCCCAAACCAAATGCACACCAACAGAAACAAATCAGCACTCTGCAAAACATCCAAAAATCAAGACGAGGATACAAATAAGGAACGCTTAAGTCTAATGCATATAATTTCAGTCTCAAAACAAACTCAAGAAACCAGAGGCATGAGTCTGTTCAACAATAATAGTAAAAGCATGTTACATAGACCACGGAAATTATGTCTAATTACCCCAGAAAACTGCATGAGGTGATGCAAAACCTTGGCGGGGGTTTTTTTTTTTTTTGCTCTTTTTTTGTGGTGTGGCTTGGGGGGGGGGGGGGGGAGGCCAGCTCGATGCAGCAAAGACCGACTATAGAATTGAAACACTAAAAACAAACATAAGGCTACCCATCCATTTGAAATCTTGAAATTAATGAAAAAGTTATGAGCAAAATCTGTTCCACATGGATGAGGACAATTTTAGGGAAAAAATGAAGTTAAAAAAAAAACAACGATTAAAAGGATAGAGACAAAACCTGCAACTAAGACGCTGTCGAGCCCTAAACTGAAAATTTAAGGATCCACAAAAGCAAGAATGGTTTCTTCAAATCAACATGAAAAAGAAATCTTGTTCTCCACTGATAAAGTTGAGAGCTTGATTGATTGATCCCAAGTTTCACAACCAACACAATATAGCTCCCGAGAGGACAGGCAAGACTTGACTCAAACGATTCAAACCCAATTACAGATTGCTTTCCAAGAAACAATTAACAGCGTAGCATACAAGCACTAAAACAACTGAAAAATCAGAATAGCTACCTCAAAAGAAGATTAGCAAGCAAAGATATATATTTACAGCCGGTGTGAATCTTTATAATGGCTTTCAGCAAATGGGTCTTCAGACTTCCGACTGCAGTTCAGATGGACAAGGAAAAAGATCAAGTCTTTGGGAAGAAAAGCTAGAAGAAAGATTTGTTTGAGATGATGGATTTTTACTGTTGAGGGGATCGGGTCAAAGAAGCAATGCCTATCAGGCTATTCCATAATATCAGTACTACTAGTTTTTCCAAAGCTCTCTCTTTCTGTCCCCCCCTCTCTCTCTCTCACAAACACAAACACAAACACAAACAGTCACAGCGACGACCGAGACTGGTGCAATAAAGGGAGCTTAAGGAAAGAAAGGGAAGGAGACTGGAGTGCTTGACTTTCTTTGCTGCTAGGAATAGACATACGTTTGTACTGTACTGGTAGTGGTTGCGAAACAAAAGCGTGTTTAAAGTCTTTGACTGCCGATCCTTCTTTGTCGTCTCCAATTCCCACTTTCACACTTGCCTCGAACCTTTCACACTCTGTGCACTAAAAATTCGAGACAACATGAGTTTCATTTTGCAAGTTCAGAATTGTTTAACTCTGGAACAAAAATTTAGCTTGATGATTTTTTGCAAGATTAAAAATTGTGTTTGAGATTGACTTTCTTACCATTAAAGCAGAACTTAAAACAGAATCACACTCAATTTATTTATATGCAAATTTTTTTCGTTAACTATCAATTTTGACTTGTGTTTAAAAAAGTTAATAAACAATTTCTTATTCTATAACAATTCTTGACTTTAATATTATCAAACACTGAGATTCATTCGAATGTGCCAAGTAGTTACTGGCAAAGGGTATTGAAGAATGGTCTTTCGAATTTCATATTCCTTCCCCTTTGGTCCTCAATGGATGGATTTAAAGACCTAGTAAAGTAAAGATTTTTACTCATCGTACTGCCCAATAACTCATTTGCCAAAATTCAAGAACCCCCTGCTTGACAAACCCAGAAGAATTGCTTGAGACCATTAATACTGCTGCATCAGAAGTTTCAAAGGGGACAACAGTAAGGCCATTGAGTTTTTTAAGTCTAAAAATTTAGGTGCTTAATACTTGGCTTGTGACGAAATTTGTAGTTGGGGAGAGGGGGTGGATGAAGAACTTCAGGACATTACCAGAATTTGTGTAGAGCAGGAACACCTTTTACACTTAGGCCTTGCATATTTCAGTTAAGGTTTGAAGTCATGCACTAAAGATGGTCGCAGTCGTAGACCAGACTAGTCATCCAATTTCTAGCATTTCTGAATGCATCTGCGATATTTTCCGTGTGGAAGAAGACGTAGGAAAATTCATTTGGTTATCTTTTCTATTGTCAGCCATTGGACCAAAGGTCCAGTGGTCATCCCAAGCCTAAGAAGTGCGAGAGGTCAGGGTTCGAACCTTGCCTCCCACAAAATTTGTCACAATATGTGACGGTTTTCATTGACCAGTTTTGATGGAGTTTCTACTCACATCGAGTCCCCTCCCCTTCCCCTCTAGAATAGGTTAGTTTAGGTTATAAGAATTCTATCGTGTCGATAAAAAAAAAAAAATATATATATATATATATCTTTTCTATTGCCAAATCCAGAATACAAATTGTACCAGCAGCATGGCCAAGAACGTATCCTGCAACTAAAAGTGTGAACGACTTGAAAAATTTTTAGTCATTAAATACTCTTCCGCACAGCGATGGCGACCGGGAGGTTTTTATCAGTTTTTTTTTTTTTTTTTTGACATTTCATGGATCGACGGAAATTAAAACACTGTCAATAAAAGTCGTGTATTTTTTGTCTTCTTTTAGTAGGTTGCAACTAATGAAAGTCATTTTTCAATCTCTACTCCACAAAAGCACTTAATGCGGTGGCCAACCGTTCAATAGGCTTTAGTTATGAGATTTTTATGAAGGATTAATCTTTCTTACACTAACATTATTATATACATTGTCAGCGGCGTTAGATGAATAACAATTACGTAAATTTTGATTTTAAAATTTAATTTTTACACACATTTCATGAATCAAACGGTGATAATATATATATTATCAGTATATATAAGATTTATTCTTTTATTAGTGCAACTTTCAAGTTCTCTCCCTTTTCCTTTCTATTTTAGTATAAAATTTAAAGTCTCCTTTAAACGAAAATAAAAATAGAGAGTCATTAACGACCATAGACAGATGGATTGAAGTATGGAAGCAGGCAATTTTCAAAAGAGAGACCAGAGTTTCAATAATATGATAGGACTCTGTCCTGACTGGCCTGCCGCAAGGGGCACGGCAACAAAAAGAAGGCAGAAATAAAGATGGGTGCAATTGGATGACTAGAAACTAGAAAATGGGGGTAGTCATCTAGCTTGTCCCCACCCATCCGAACTGTTTGTGGGCCTGTCATTTTGTTATCATGGGCTGAAGGCTCGCCCACCACGTTGGGCTGTATTTGCCAACATCTTAGGGAAATTTACGCTGTGCCCACTACTTTCAAGGACTTTGACGGTCTTGTTAGGAGGAAGAATTATTGTTGGGCTTTTAATGCAACCCAAGCGTAAGGTCTCCACTGGTGAGACTGGAATTGTACGGTACAAAATTTGAATAACGCACGGATGTCTTAAGTCCGCTGTTTGGGGTTGCGGTGTTTTTGATAAAAAAAAATATATATATATATACTTTTAAGTGGTAAAAAGTACTTTTACAATGTTTGGTGAATATCATCTCACACAATTAGGAGTTGAGTTGAACTTTTTGTGTTAAAAACACTTTTAACAAAAACTCAAATTTGATGCTTTTATAGTGGCTTTTGTGATTTTAAAAAGTAAAATATCAAATTTAATCATGTTAGCCTGTATTATGAGCCAAATAAAGAAATAAACACTTTTAAAAATTTTTGAATTGCATATTATTCAATACAATAAAAACTTATTGAATTATGTCTCTAAACTATACAGTTAAAAGCACTTAAACATTTAAAAAGTATTTTTATTAAAAAATTTATTAGAAAAATACTTTTCAATAAACTACTGCAACGCCAAATGGACCCTAACTATGGTCCAAATCGGCTATTTATTTTCTATAAAACTCGTTTACGTACCAAATTATGAGCACAAGGACCAGCGTTGTTTATTGAGATATTTATTATTGTGATTACTTTGTTATAACGGCGTTGATACTTGAAACCAATTTGAATTTGTGCTCGAAGGAGCAACGGCCCAAAATGTCAACTAACACTTGCATCTCCATTTATCGTCACCCCCAATGTTATCTTTCCAGCTAACTTTTGTCCATTTTTTCGAGTCACAATTCTGGTCCCATATGTATATAAATTTGAATGACTTTCCCACAACCGGTAGTCCTTTCACTCCATTGTTCTCAATGACCTCTAACTATGTAAAGTATTCAACTTAATGATGTTAACAAATCTTTCTTAGTGATGGCAAACCTTAACCTTTAGGGCAATGTGTACTTTAATTTCCAAAAATGACTTCTGACACTCCATGAATTTGGGTCAAAAATTAAACCATACCATTTACACACAATCAAGAGAATTCTGCAGACCTTATGGCCAAATAATAATAAAAGGAAACTTTGTGAACAGCTTCTAAATTATATCCAAACTCTCAACTAATTGTCTTTTGCGCAGTTTTTGCCCCCTCGACTATAAATTGTCACAAATAAACTCTTTAAACAAAGTTTACTTTAAGGATCTTTTTGCCAATTTTGCCCATTAGAGGTGAAGGAATCTGGGGTCAAAATGACTAAACAAAAAAAAGTCAATTCACAAAAATAGCCTAAAAGGTCTCGTTGACTGATTATTTCATCATATTAAGACTAGTAAAGGGGGAAGACGAAGAAACATTAAACTCCATGTTATTAGTTGACTTAATATAGTTGGTTTTTAAGCAAATTGTGTGTTAGTTTTTCTGTTTGGTCAATTTTGCCCCCTAATTCCGTCACATTTAATGCTCAAAATTGATGGAAGTCCTTGAAGACTTAAACTAAGTAGTTTTTTTATTCAAGGGCTTATTTGCGATAATTTATGATTGAGAGAGGCCAAAACCGTGCAAAGCAAATAGTTTAGGAGCCTATAAGAAAGTTTCCTCTAATACAAATAAAAAGCAGCCGGAGAGAAAAGCAGTAGAAATATATCACTTTTTTTTTTTTTTTTCACGGGACAGGTAATGCGGCTGTAGCAAAATCTAGAGTGCTCAAAGAAAAGGCAAAGGTATGCGTGCCTGAGTTCAGTGTCGGGTGGCTGTCATAAAATAAAATACAACTGTTCGTTAGTCATTCCCATCCATCCAGTACCACTTTCCTTCCTCTTTATTATCTCCTTCACTCTACAGAGTCCAGACTGATTGATTGATTAGGTAAGCTGAGCTGGGTTGGGTTGGGTTTGGGAAGGGTCTGTATTGTACACGTACGAGTATCTAGGGATTCTCATTTCCCTCAACAAAACAAAACCCGCATCCAAACAAACCCTCAAAATTCCCAATCCGCATCTCCTCCCAGTCCCAGCTTCCAAAATGGTCTGATTCTCCGTCTCCATTCCTCTTCTCACCCAATCCCCTCCTTCCACCTGTCACTCCCCCGATCTGGTAAGTCCACCTTCCGTCTCTCTCCTTTCTTTACCTTCCAGATCAACTGTCCTACTTCTGCAACTCTTCGAGTAATTTGCGCTCCACTCACTATCCGAGATTTACTGCTTTAGTCTTCTTACTCGAGCTGATTTGTGCTGGTAATCTCGTCGCTTTCCGTTGATTGTGAATCTTGCTTCTTTTTCATTCTTTTTAATTTAAAATTTCTAGTGGGTTTGACTGATCTGAGTTTTTTTCTTCTTTGTTTTTTTTTGGGTCTGTTGTTAACGCGTTTTCCGGGATTTTTCAACATGTTTTCGCGTGGGTATGCGAAATGGTAGTAATTCTTTTAAGTGTTCAGTGAGGTCGATTAGTAATTAGCTTCAGTAATGTAGCCAAACAGTTTACTAATTTATGTGCTTATCCACAACATAATAGGTGCTCAAATTTTAGGTAGTTGACCTCTGCCGGAACAGAATCCTCAGTATGTATTCTGTCAGAAATTAACCCACATGTTGCTTGTCCGTCTTATTTTTTGTACCGTCCTCATACAGATATGTCGCTATTTTCATTACCTTTAGTTTTTTTTTTCTGTGTTTAGTTTTTTTTTTTTTTGGGGGCGGGGGGATATTGTGCGAGTTTTTGAATCACAGGATATGCCTGACTTTTTTTTTTTGGAGGGTTAAAGTTTTTGAAAGAAATTATTTGTTTTTTTTTCTTTCTTTAATGAAAATGAGAGGCATAACTTCTTGTTTTTAGTTAGAACCAGAGGCTTACTGCTATATAACTTCACTTTATTTTATGCCCTGATGGTTGAAGCAATTTGTTGATTTTGACCTTCTGCCTCCCTTCCCCCACCACAATGACACTCAATTACTACCTGTTTTTCTTGTTACGTGTTAACCATAGATGGGGCGTCTTTTCAACAGTGTATGATTTAACATTACAATTTTCAAGGGTTCGGGAGTGGAATCTTGGAAACAGATTTGTTGGTAATCCGTTCATGAGATTTTCATTTTTCAATGAAACAACCAATAGATGGTGTTTTATTCACTCAGGAATTGCTTACAATGATTGGTTGCTTTGCTGAAGATGAAAATTCTGCAGTAACTGGACTTAAAGTTAGCAGTTTTGATTGATATATAACAGATCTGCTGACAACAGGACTGATAGGGTTGTTGTCCTAGGGCTTAAATCCATCATCGAGACAAAGAGAAGTCATTGCTTGTGGTTTGGGGAGACATGTTTGTGATTGTTTACATGCTATCTGTGAGAATTGTATTGATTGTTTATCTTCAAGTGAAGGCATTCAGAGTAATAAAGAGTATGGTTTTGTGGAGCAATATTCTTGTCTACACCATTTCGTACTGATTTTTTGTTCTTGAATCTTCTTGAACTGATAATTTTTAAGCTGCTTTACTATATATTCTTGAAACCTCATTCTGCATAACATGGACATCATATAAAGTACATATGATAGTTGGTTGTTGCTACCTGATTTTGCTACCTTAATTAACTCATTATTTTTGGGTGCTTTAAATGTCTTTTATTTGATGGTAAGCTCTATTACTGTAATTTTTTGATGTGAATATCCCTTAATGAATGCTATTATGTTTGTGGTGAACAGCCTTATCTACCATGGAAGATGCTGGTTCAGTTGCTACACTCATGGATTCTACAAGCTCCAAAATACAGCAATTGCAAAAAGCATTTGCTGAGCTTGAGAATCATCGTGCAATTACCCTCAACTGGAAATGGAAACAACTTGAAGAGCATTTTCATGGGCTTGAGAAATCTTTGAAGAGGCGTTTCACTGAGTTGGAAGACCAAGAAAGGGAGTTTGAAACAAAAATAGTTCAATCTAAAGAGATGTTGGAGAGGCGTCAAGCTACTGTTGTGGCCAAGGAGCAGGATTCATTGGCGAGACTCCAGCAGAAGAGAGATGTTGCTGTCTGTGCGATTACTTCTGCTCTGGAGAAGCACAGGAAGTTATCTTCTGATGAACCTGCTTTTGATAATAGCAAGGACCATGGTGGGGCACCAGATAAGGAGGATAAACCTCCTGATGCTATGGCTGCTGAGAGCAACATAAGAGAGTTGACGGCACCTTCTGAAATTGAGAATGCAGCGGTGAAGTTGTATCCAGAGCTTGTCAAGTTGTGTCAGGAGATGGATTCAGAAGGCCTGCACAAATTTATCTCAGACAACCGTAAAAACCTTGCTGTTATGAGGGAGGAAATTCCAAATGCACTAAAGGCTGCAAATGATCCGGCCTCGCTGGTTCTGGACTCACTCAATGGTTTCTACAGCATGGACATGCCTAGCTCAGATGCCAAAAAGGACTCAAACCTCCTAGGCCTTCGTCGAAGCTGTATCATGCTGATGGAATGCCTTAGCACTTCATTCACAAATTTGGATCAGGAACTCATCTCAGGTATGATCTCATCTGATGTCAAGGAACGGGCAAAAGTTATTGCTGAAGAGTGGAAGCCGAAGTTAGATGAACTTGATGTTGATGCCAGCAGTGGGAACTCCTTAGAGGCACATGCATTCTTACAACTTCTAGCTACTTTTGGTATCAATTCTGATTTTGACCAGGAGAGCTTATCCAAGCTAATACCTATGGTTTCTCGTCGTCGCCAGACAGCTGATCTGTGTCGTTCCCTTGGATTGTCTGACAAAATGCCAGGTTGGCTTCTTGTGAACACTAATTGATAGTTATAAGATTTTTCTGAGTTATGGTTAGCAATTTGATTTGCTTCCAAATGAATATTATTTTGTAGTTCAGTTTATTCTGTTTTCTTTCAGGTGTCATTGATGTTTTGGTGAAAAATGGGAGACAAATTGATGCTGTTAATCTGGCTTTTGCATTTGACCTGACAGAGCAGTTTTCACCTGTTATATTACTGAAATCCTACCTGAGCGACGCAGCAAAATTGTCTTCACCTAGTAAGCTGGGAAACACATCACCTTCTGCACAGGTTTGTTTATATCCCTAATCCTCAACACCTACAAGAAGGACTATTGCTTCTGACGTGTATTTCTGTGGCTTGCAAAAGCCTTTACTCTGACATATGTTCATATTTGGGTCTTTCCCAGGATGGTGATATTCAAATCAGTGAACTTTCTTGTGGTGCATATATCATCTAAAACTTATTGATCATAGCTTTGTATAAGAATTAGCGTCATTTATTTTGTACTTTCATATGGTCTAGTTTGAAGTTGCTAGTATTTTTTTCATGACACTATCTTAACCTATCGTGCGTAAGGCTGAAACTTCCACAAAGATCCTTTTTCTGATGAGGGAGTGGAAGTATTCACTTGGATAATGCATTGTCAATTGTTTCAGTGCGATGTCAATGAAAAGGAGCTTTCTGCACTTAAGGCTGTGATTAAGTGCGTCGAGGAGCACAAGCTTGAGGAGCTTTACCGTCTGGATGGTCTCCAAAAAAGGGTCGTGCAGCTGGAGAAGGCAAAGGCAGATAAGAAAAGAGCCACAGAAGTTGCAAAACCTCAATCCAAAAGGCCTCGTGCTAATGGTGCTGGATATGGGCCACGAGTTGCTAATGTTGCCGCTGACAAGAGCTTCTATGTTGCTAGGATGACTGATAGGTACCCACCGTACATCTATGACAGACCATACTGTTATTCTGGACCAACTGACAACCACGTCGCCCCAGTTCTGGGTACTGCTGCTTACAGCCTCCCTCATAGTCATGGCAACTTCTTTGGAGCTGGATACCAGTACCAGGTGGCTGCGTACCTGCACTAATCAGTAGGAAAGATGAAATCGTTGATCATGATCCTTTTAACTGTTAGTGTTAACCCTTTCTGTCTGTTGTACTGCACCACGTGAGCAAGTTTAATATTGGAAAAAAAAAAAAACAAAAAAACTCAACCTGGTTAATTTTAATCTGTTGTAAAATCTGATACTTTAATCCTCTAATATATGCACTACTATTTTCTTATTTGTGTATATATATGCATTAATTAGTCTATTGCTTTTCAATTTTGGTATATTTCTTTCCACCTTGTTGTTCCGGTTTGATGCTTACACAAGGTCTACAGAAGTTGGCGGTTGTTTCCCTTTTCTTAGGTTGGTTGAATCCTTAGATGATGACCTTGTCTTGTCCTTCTGGTGTTGTTTTACTCCGCTTTCGAACTGGTGATATCAAGGACTGGTTGGAAGCCGTCATATGCTACGACGAGCCTTCGACTATTGATTGCAATTTTTGGCTTCTAAACTGCAGAACTACCACAAATCTTGAAACTGTTTCACGAAGTATCGTTTTAGGTTGAATAGAAACCTCGGAAGGGGTGCTTGATACTCTCTCGATTACCATTAACTCTGTGGTAGTTTCTAGCCCCATGTTGCACAGGAATCAGTTACTGAATGTTGCGTCCTGCAGGAAGCTCCGGTTACTCCACAAAATCGGAGGTGTAGTATCACGGTCTCGCTGAATCCTCTTGTGTTTTTCCCTTTCAATAATTCAAGATCCCACTGACCATACCTTGGAATCCAAAATTACAAAAAAGAAAAGGACTTTGTCCAACTGCAGTGATTAATTATCATCACTAATCTAGTACTACTACTGATAAACACCTACTTTATTATTATTATTATTATTTTTGGGCCTCAATTGGGATTTTCCAAATTCGCGGGTGCTCTGCTTACCAGCAACCCCCCCGCACCGTCAAAAACCCAATATAAATAAAATGAAGTTCTGTTCATTCAAATGGTTCATTTTGAATTTCTTCTTTCCCTCCCAAATTTGACCCGAGTAATCAACGAATCATTTGCTGGACTAAAAAAATGAGAATAGCAGAGATCTCCTCGCCGGAGCTCAGACGAAGCCACGATCAAGAGTCCGGACCTCACTCTCACACACTTTCACAAATCGAGTCATCAATTAAACAACTCGAACTCCATTCTCCTTCCACTATCTTACCGGAAGCTCTCTCCTCCGACCTCCGTTATGCCCTGACTCAGCTGACACAGCTCGCGCCCTTCCCCAACTCAGTTTGTCTCAGCATCTGGAAACTCAGCTACCGACTCTGGAATGCCTGCGTCGATCTCTCCAACGCCTTCGCCGCCAGCGGCATCAAATCCTCCGAAGAGCACGCTAAGCTCCGTCAAGTCTCCGCTGACCTCCTCTTCCTCGCCTCTGATGTCGTCGGTATTCCTTCCCCGGCATTCAAGTGCGCCTCCTTCTTCTACAAGACCGGTCGCGTTTGGCACGATCTCAACAAATTCGACCTCGCGAGTAGTTGCTTCGAAAAAGCTACGGATCTCGTATCCAAAGTTGAAATTAGTTCAATTTCAGATAACGATGAGCGCAAGCTTGTGTTAAATCTAAATCTAGCTAGATCCCGGACTGCTTGGGAAGTTTCTGATAGGAATTTGTCGATTATGTTACTTAGTCGGTCAAAAAATGCACTGTTTGGAATTTCAGAGAACTACAAAGCATTAGCATCTCAGTATTTGATGTTCGGAAAAGTTATTTTGTCGAAAAATGAAGTTTCTGGAGTGAATGAAGCGTTGAAATTGATGAATGAAGCACTGGAGTTGTGTGAAAAGGGGTTGAGGATTGCGAAGACAACAGAGGAGACTTTAGCACTGAAGGATTTGAGAGCAAAAGCGCTGCGCTTCATAGCCGCTGCTCATTTGCAGAGGGATGAATTTGATAATGTTCTCAAGTGCGTGAGAGTTTTGAGGGATGGTGGCGGGGACCAGCACCCAAGTTTGAGCGTGTTGGCCATGAAGGCGTGGTTGGGATTAGCAAGATATGGGGAAGCAGAGAAGGAGCTGAAAGGCATGGTAATAAATAAGGGGATTCCAGAGGGGGTTTGGGTCTCTGCAGTTGAATCATTCTTTCAGGCAGCTGGCACGGCTGGTGCCGATACCGCAAAAAGCGTGTTTTTGGGGCTATTAGGAAGGTGCCACGTCAGTGCTGGATCAGCTTTTAGAGTGGTAAACAGGGTGGTTGGAGATAGTGGAGGCGGCAGTGGGGAAGGTTCAAGAGTGAGGGCAAAAGTGGTGGTGGAACTGGTGTCTGATGAGAGGGTTGTGGCGCTTTTCGCTGGAGAAGAGGCATCTAAAGAGAGGACTGCGATGCATGCTCTTCTTTGGAACCGGTAAAAATCCATACATTTTTCCAGCTCAATGTTTCCACATTGTAAAGTATGCAAGTTAAGTAGATGTCTAAAGTTTGATACTACTATATGATTGAAATAGCATTTTGATATAACTGCTCTCGTATTGAAGGAACATGCAAGTCCTGCCCTGAGAATTTTTTCCAGTTTTTTTTTTTTTTAATCGAGGCCACTGTGTGCTTACTGAATTGGTGAGGTTTTAAAGACAAATTGATCCTCCCTCCCCACAGCCAGCTTCCTGTTTTTGTTGCTTATCATAAGCTTCATTCATTCATCAATACTCCAATTCTGAAGAACACTCATATTACATGGCACTGCCCAAAGATGGTATGAGTTTTTGTTGTTGCACTTGCACCCATGGCACTTGAGGACAGAAGGCAAAGCTTCATTGAACAACTGAACAATTTTGAGATAGTGACAACTTGTGGATTTCACTCTGTCAATTAGATTTTTTAACCTTTTTTTCTTTCTCTTTGCTGAAATTGCTTTGCAGTGCTGCAGAACATTTTCGATCCAAAGATTTTCAGATCAGTGCTGAGCTGTTTGAAAAGTCTATGCTCTATGTCCCTTATGACTTAGAGAATAGAATGCTCAGAGCAAAGGGCTTTAGAGTTCTCTGTCTCTGTCACTTAGGCCTTTCACAACTAGATCAAGCTGAAGAGTACATTACTGAAGCAGAAAAGGTCTATACATATTTGGATATGATTCACCAAATTCTTTGTGTTGTGTAGCTCATTATCCTAACGTCTATCTAATTTTGCAGCTTCAACCTGATATAGCTAGTGCCTTCCTTAAGGTGTGAGATCTCTTCCCTAAAAGAGCAGAAGATTTGGTTAATCTTCTTGTGATGTTAATATTTTCTTACAGCATCCATATGCTTCTCATTTTGCAGTTTAAAATTTACCTGCAAAGGAAGGATCACTGTAATGCAATAGCTCAGGTGCAAGTGATGTCAAGCTGTCTTGACTTCAGTCCTGATTTCCTCTCACTTTCGGCACATGAAGCTGTTGCCTGCCAATCTCTTCCTGTTGCAGTTGCTTCTTTGTCCCATCTCCTAAACTTCTACTCCTTAGGAAAGCCAATGCCAGCCATGGAAGTTGCAGTTTTTCGGACCTTAGTAACAATTCTTACAAAAGAGACTGGCCATGCATCTGATATTCTACAATACATTAAACGTGCTCTTGATAGGGTATCTGAGATTGGAGCTGACTGCTTTTTTGGAAAAGGTGAGGTTGGAAAACGGGAAAAGAATTGGTTTGCAGTGAATGCGTGGAATTTTGGGGTGCAAATGGGGAAAGAAAAAAGTTATGGACTATCAGCACAGTTTTTCAGATTGGCGTCAGAGTTCTATAGCATCAAATTTGATGCAGACATAGAGGATTACAACTTAATGGTCTGTAAATCATTGATATTGTGTGTTTCTGCAATTATTGCTGATGAAAAGCAGACAAATAGCACGCTGCTAGAAACTGAAGTTAAAGCAGCCATTGAACTGTCAGATAGAGCTGGAAAGGTAACCAAACACATAATCAATCATTGTTCATGGCTTCAAATTTACCAGTAAAACTAACTTCTGATCAGAGATCATTGTGTTTGCTGTCAAATTAAGTTAAAGTTGGCTCTGGAGGAGCATGGTTGTGAAAAGTTGTATTCACCAGTACCAAATGTTTGATTGTAACGAAGTGTTTATTTGTTAATTGCAGATTTTATTATCAAGCTCGGCGATCTCTTTGCAAGATGAACATAAAGAAACCAGCATAGAGTCTGACTTCATTTTTATGCACGCTTGGAGTGCCTACGATCTATATTCAAGGCTAAGTGACATGGGACAAAAGCAGATGCTTTTGATAAGAAGCTTTGCTAGTTCTAAATCTTGCAATCCTTTGCATCTTCTTCAGATCGGTCTTGATGCCTCACAGGGACCACGATCCAACCCTGAAGTAGCTGGTTTTGCCCTGAATTCTTGCCTTTCTGCTCTCCTTGCTTCCCCTTCTCCTGATTACCAATATGTGGCTTTAATTCTGAGGAAATTAATTTCTGTAAGCACTATTTTTAAGGGTGATACAGATGATGCAGTAATTAGCATATACAAACAAGCATACCGAATAATGGTGGGTTTGAAGGAAGGGGAGTATCCCACTGAAGAGGCAAAATGGCTTTCCATGACAGCATGGAACCGAGCAGCACTTCCTCTGAGGTTGGGACAGACTGAAGTGGCAGAGAAGTGGATGAATATTGGGTTGGAATTGGCGAAGAAGGTTCCAGGTATGCAAACTTATAGGTCCTGCATGGAAGATTTTGTTTCTGGCTATGAGAAGAGATTCCGTGAACTCGGAAATGGTGAAAACAGGCCAATAATGGTGTCGTGACGTTAGATTTTCTGTGTGGACCGTTGATTAATAGTAACCTATTTAGCCTTTTACTTGTTTACTCGGGTTCCAGCATAGAATAGCTTGCATATAATTCAAATTTTTGTTTATCTCCCTTGCATATTGTTCAGAAATGTACCAGCAATGTCTTCAAGGTTCTTGTTTCTCTATCATAGGATGTGGGCTTGTTTGCTAGTATTTCCATTTGTAGCTGGCATATTTCCCCAGCAAAGCCTTAATTGGTTAGTGAACAACTGGATATATCACTCAACTTTCCATCACCACATTCTAGTGCATCTGTTGGCAACAGTTTGATTTGATTTAACTTCTACACATCGTTGTCATTATACCATATAATCTCTATAATAATGTTATAAAATTAGGTGGAATTTTTTCCTTTTCTATGATAAGAAGAAAAGATAATTATCAGGAAAAATGTAAACGCCCGTATAATATACTATTGATCATAGAAATTCGAATAATAACATATTTTCTATTCTGTAACACAGTGGCTGCATATAACCAAGATCAAGACTGGGAAAGCGTATCATACCAAGCTGTTTATGTTAATTGTTTAACATTATGAAGACAAGCAACACTCAAAAGATAGCATCAGTAATACAAAAAAAAAAAAAAAATTCCTATTTGGTACTTGTGTTCATAAATTCCATGTTGCACACATACTTCCAAACAGCACTACATGATCATCGAAGTGTCTAGCTTGGCAATTAGGATTCCTTTTCCGATAACTGCCTTCGATCATTCTCTTATCTTGAGAAAACAATTGGTTGCTACTCCGTGACAGTAATAAAATTGAAAAAAATCCAGCAGTAGGCTTCCCTCCATGGATCAAACTAAACTCTGCACTCTCTTCAGAAATTTATGGAATGCGACAAGTTGAAGCAACAGTTCAGAAAAACTACCCAAGCAATGACGAAGTTTCAGCATTTAAGTCAGTGAGGCTTTGCATCATATTTCTGGCTTTGATGGTGTTGGGGATGATGGTGGTTTCAAATCTGGATACTGGATGCATGTAAACTGTTAGTCACGTGAGAGAAAATTAATGACTAATGCAACAAAAGCATGCATGTATAAATAGAAATGACTAATCTGTTGTATCAAAACAACTCAAGTTAAACTCTTAACCTAACAAATCAAAGCTAATTGTATGGCAGAGCCATCATCAAATGGAATCCAAAAGTTAACCAGAAAAGACAAACAAGCTCAAAGAACCTAGCTTTTGGATCAATCTTGAATTCCGTATAAGATGCCTTGACCAAAACGTTACATGCCATTCCACAGAAAGAAGGAAACATATGGGCAGAGTAGGGATGGCTAAAGGAACAAAAAGAAGGTATAAAGACTAACGAGAAAAAGGAAACCAAAAGAGCATGTCTAATATAGACAGAAGGGAAGGATGGGGATGAAAAGGATTAAAGAAGGGATGGGCCTTCAACTCATTGTTTGGTTGAAAGGACTAAGAAGGAACTGCAAAAGAGGATAACATTCCTAATCCTTCCATCACAGGATTTTGGAAGCGTTGGAGCTGTCTGACCCACACACCATCAAAGAAATTAATAATTACAAAGGAAAAACATTTGAAATGTTTAAAAACCTCCTTTCTCACCCATAAACAAACCAGGAGACAGAGTAATTCATTCCCAGGTACAAGGATCTGAACAGATTTTAGCTCAAAATTCTATTTTTCTTGACAATTAATACCAGTTCCTCAAGCCACAACCCTTTCCTGGCCAGCACAAGAAACAAACCCCAGAAAATAGAATGGCACAAACTGAACAAGTATATGCACCCATACCTGGATTTGCATACCAGCAACGGCATCACAGATAACCAAATAACAGAAGTAGAGGTTGGACACATTTTCGTGTGCACATACAGAGAGAGAGAGAGAGAGAGAGTACATTTGGGTATGGTGATGATGATCTAGGGCCACATTTTGTCCCAGAGGTCAGTTCAGAAGAACTGATTACAGATCCATCGCTGATCTTTTCAGGTTCATTGGCAAACAGACCGGTAACAGATGATGAGCTACCTTCAGTTTGGCTGTTTACTCCACCATTACCACTAGGTTGCTGTGAAACTTTGGCCTTCTTCTTGGGGTAGATGTGCACAGATGGAGGGAGCAGAGTTTCTTGTATCTCCTGCAGGAAACTCAACATGTAAACTAGCTATAGAATAATGTTAAACTACTTTTAAGGGCACATCCAATGTGTGTGCAGTTTAGAAATAATTATTAATTTTTATGAATATATCAATCTTGTTTTTACAAAATTAAATTTTATATAAATTCTTCATAAAAATATTGCAATTTTTATTAGCATTTTTTTCTTTAGTGCAGTTATAGTTAATTTGGTAGTTACAATATTTAAGGGAGTTATGGGAGATTATATTAGCAAATGTGATTGGGTGGTTATGGTAAAAATTAATATTTTTAAGGGCAAAACTGGAAGTTCAAAAAATGACACAAAATGTTTTCCCCAATTGCCACCTCTCTTCCTTGTATAGATACTTAAATGCAGTTTTCCAAATTCAGAAACAACATTCAATTTCTAGACCAAAAAGCTGCATATCATGCAGGCTTCCATCTAAGTATTCAGGTAATGCAAGACCAGCCTGAAATCCTTATCCCAACATATAACAATTAGACTCTAAAAACTACCAATTGAAGTACCATTTCATCACTTCCAACTTTTTCTTCTGTCACTACCACATATACGAGGAATATAACAGGCATCTTTCTCATGTGCTAAATAAGTACATAACAGAATAGTAAGGAACAACCGTTATTGGAATAGTATGCATAATATGGTGGAGCAAAATCACACTTGATCTCATTCAGCATATGTCAAAGTAAGTAGATAATAGTACCTGCCATCCTTTGTTGCCTCTAATTCCACCTCTAATTGCATAAGCTTCCTTAAGTCCATTTTTGGCTAATAACTCAGCCACTTTCATGGAGTTACCATCAAAACTACCTTCCACACAAAAGAGAGTAAAACAGATACTGGTCAAATGCTTTAGCACAACTCTGTATATATTATTATCTGCTAAGTGGCAAGAATAAAACCCATTTACCTAGACTGCAATATTAATTATTCTCGAGGATAATGGAATGTATGAGCAAGGGAAAGGTTGAGCAGGCAATATATATCAGGGTTTGGACTGTCTGGAGTTTCAAATAGAAGCAAAAGAGAAACACGAAGCGGACGTAAGCTATTCTATAACTTGGATAGTGGGTTAACAAATTGAGCAGCACAAAAACAAGGAGAATACAATAAAGAAAGGGGAAAAATGCTTTGTCAAGGGCAATTTTTACCGCTAACCTTTTCTTATCCATTACGAATGCTTTAACTACCTTTGACTAGATGAACATAACTAGTCGGGATAATTCTCTCCTTTAGTAACACAACTAACTTAAGAAACCCAAGATATGTGCAGAATATGACATTAGTTATTTTTTGTGTCTGCAATTTAGTCGATTTTCATATGATCAAACAATGATATCTCTTAACAGCCTGTAGAGGCATCTTTTTCATCTTTATTCTTCATTGGATTGGGAAAGGGTAAAACGAAGAAGATGGGGCATCTGCTTACATAAATATTCATCATAGAGTATCTCGCTTTTTGTTCTTGGTTGCAAGAAACAGAAAGAACCAAGCTAAGCAAAACAAGATCTTACATATCTCTTCCACTATAGTAGGAGGTTTTAGCCAAACATGCTAAAATCATGACTCGATCAGTTTGTTTGTTAAAAAGAAAACTCAACAATTTAGTATTGTCGTAATTGCCGTCTTGAATAAAGCAGCACTGATTCACTACAATACCTCAACACGTCTATGATATTTACGACAAAGATTTCAGATAACACAAGAAGAGCTCCACAGTAAAAGTTGCCAAAACTTACTTGTCCAGAACACAAACAGTGGTTTTATCTGGCTCCTTAAATTTTTCCAAAACTTGCCTCAAAAAACCTTCTTCATCTCCTTCGGAAAAAGCCACCTGCAGCACACTCTTATTTAAAATCTTCAAATTAGGTGAATTCAGGAAATCCAAACTCTTCTCATCCCTGATATCCAACAGCTGATAATTGGGGTCATCCCGGAGTTTCCTGAAAGCATCAATGGCAGAGATAAACTTATACTTCCGAAAGTATTCTTGGCCCAATGGGACTACAACAAGCCAAATAAAGACAACCCCAGCAACAAAGAATGGATTTTTATTGAAGAAATCATCCACTGAAACCACAACAGCTTCCAAGTTAATTTTGTTAGAGACTTCTTGAGTTGTTGGTACAGCAGCTTCAGAAGCAAAACAAGAAAGAGGGAAAAAGAATCCCATTGATAGAAAGGAAACATGGGATTTGAGAAGCATGGCATCCAAATGAAACCTTAACATATCCCCATTACAAAGAGTGGTTAAAGTTTTGGTTAGCTGACTATTCGGAAATTCAGTCTGGGGTGCTTGACGAGGTGCTTTAGTGGGAGGGGAAACAGTTTGCATAAAATGGCGGGACTGAGAAGTTGAACTGGGGATTCGAAGAATGGGTTTGGAAGTAAAAGTTTGGATATTGGGGTAGTTTAATGAAGGTGGAGAAGTTGAGAGTCCTGCGGAAAAAGTCTCCATTTTGTCAAAAAGCAGCCGAGAGAGGAGGGAGGAAAGACGGTAAGACGATAGAAGGAAGGAGAGAGAGGTACGATGGCGCCTTCTACCTATTTACGCAAAAGCACTTTCATTTTCGAGGACTTCAGAAGCAAATACTAAGAAAATCGATAACGGCGTCGTTTGGAAGGAGCATACTCACCCAATATAAAAGCCAATTTGGAAGAACCTTCTCGGCAGATTTCTAGCACTTGTCTGATGACGACTTTATCAAATCAGGGAAAAATCGATATATCTTGTTGGGATGGAACTATTTCGCAGCATGAATTCCACACAGCCGCGAGTGCTTTTGCTGAGCGATGGAACAAATTCAACGCTGCCCTTCCCCAGTGTTCATGGGTTGCTCGTCCAAAATCACCTTACCTATCTTCCACCTCTAAGGTCTCACACCAATTCCTGAGCTTTTCTTGTTTTCTTTTTCTTTTTCATTTTTATTTGTGTCCATTGCCATGCAAATAATTGTGTATTCTATCCTGAATTCTTGTTTAGGACGAGGGTTACTTATCAGTAGAAAATGTCATTATGTTCCCAACGCCTGCTGCGGTATACTTCGCTTTATTTGCACTTGAGTAAATTTTGATGCTTTTCACAGACTTGTTAAAAGCATTTACTTAATCGTAACAGCACCGGCATTATGTATACTTTCGTTGTTCTTATATTATTCCTCTGGTAGGAGTCTTGTGGCGGAGGAGATGACAAAGAGGGAGAAGAGGAACTTAGTTGCTCCCGCTTCCAAGAGGATGACTTCATTGATGGTGCCACCATGGTATGCACATAGACCTTGTTGGTAAAACTGATTGTTTCTCTGTCTTTTTTTTTTTTTAATATTTTGGGCTCTGATCTTTTTAGAAAAAAAATGTCTTTGCTCATAATTCATAATTTCAGAGTGCATTGTTGCTCAAAGATAGCATGTTTGTGTTGGATCTTCTATTCCCTTTTTGTTGATTTTTCCAGCTGTAAGCTGTAATGAGGGTGTAAAAGAAGGATGTTCATTGACCTGTTTACAGAGTTTGCTCCACTCAATGCACTATGTAGTCCTTTTAACTCGTTCACTTAATTCTCATTTTAAAAGTAAATATTAGCACTATTTCCAGCTGAATATTGTTATCTCCTCTTGGAGATGATATTTTACAATACTACTTTCCTCATTAACATTATGCGGTTTTTACATTAGTTATTTTGTGGTATCTTTGGCATTCCGTAACAAATGGTCCAAAAACTTCAGTTTCACTCTATAAACTAGGAAGATCTTGTTGTTTGTTCAGTGATTTCAATTTTCGTAGTCATGACTATTCCGTAATTATCAAACATGATGTGGCGAAGGGTTATTTACAATAAATTGCTAGATTTATTCAAATTAAAAAATTTTTGATGCTTTAATTAGGCTTCCATAAGTATAGAAGAAGATTTCAACTTTAGAGTCAATATTTAAGAAGTCGACTTCTCCTTTTGCTTTCGCATTACTTTTCTTCTTCTTCTTTTGCAACTCACACTAATATGCTCAAACACATCAGACAACATCTGACACAATCTTCCCAAAGCATATGAAGATTCAAGTATGCATCTTGACAGCTGCTTTAACCTTATAAACAATGACAATTGAACCACAACATGCTTTCACTATCTAACACTCGAAAACTTTTCCACCTATAAACATTCTTTTCATCCTTATTCTTGATTTGGATCAGGTGGTATATGGCAATGGCACCTAAAGTATGTTTCTTGTAAATTCAACATATGATCCTAACCTCGTATTCTTCACAACCATCAAATCCAATGAAAGGTCCAAGTTTTCCAAGCTGTTCTAAACAAAATAGAGTGTCAATAATCACTCAGTTATTGGGATTAGTTATCTTGGATTTGTGGTGCACCACATGGATGCAATGTGTGTTTGATTGTGTCTATGAGAGCTTTGTGTGAATTGCAAAAGAAGCAGAAGAAATGTAAATAACGAAGGGGATAAAGGAGGATAGATTTCTCGGAAATCGACATTCGTGGTCAAACTTCAAAGTCAATAAGTCAAATTTTATATTTATGGAAATCGAATAAAATTATCAATTTTTCTTTAATTTGAACTCAAATGGCATTACTGGTGTAAATAACCCATGCAGTAAACGTGCTTCTTTTTTTCATATAGCTTGAGGAATTGGTTTAAGTGTTTCTCAGCTTCATTGAAGGAACAGTGAGGACTGCCACTTCTACAAAAGATGTATCATTTGTGCTGTTCGCATTCATTTACTTTATTGTTTTGTGCGCTAAATTTTTCATTTCAACGTGCTTCTTTTTTACATATAGCTTGAGGTTTAAGTGTTTCTCAGCTTCATTGAAGGAGCAGCGAGGACTGCCACTTCTACAAAAGATGTATCATTTGTGCTGTTTGCATTCATTTACTATATTGTTTTGTGCACTAAAATTTTCATTTCAACTCCGTCAGTTGCAAAATCATGATGACGCAAGCCATCACTATGACTTCCATGTTGTCTACAATGCTTCATATAGAGTTCCAGTGCTATACTTCCGTGCCTACTGCAGTGGTTAGTTCATTCTTACAAATTTTGAGCTACAAACGAGTTCAGAAACTTTTGAGTTTTTAGGATCTTAAGGATTGTCTTTGGGCATGTAGATGGACGAACACTGGTCTTAGATGATGTTGAGAAGAGCATTCCTGCTATCTCTGCCAAACTCCTAATGCTATCTAAATGGACATTTATTACTCAGGAGGTGATCAGTCTTCTTTCTCCAATTCTTGAAGTATGAATAGTTTTATGGGAGACATGTTTTCAAGAATTATGTGTTTGATGCTTTCTAGTTTCATGTACATTCTTGGTATGAGTAGCTTCTCTCCAAACAAAGGTGAATTGATCGGAAAGAGATTCTTAAACAAACTTCATTCTTTTGAAGACTATTCTTATATCTTCTTTGAGGTAGCTCATAATATAAGACTAAATGCAGGATCACCCTTACTTGAATTGTCCATGGTATACATTACATCCTTGTGGGACCAGCGAGTGGATGAAGATGCTCTTTAGCTATGAACCTGCGGTGGATCATGGTGGAGTTGCAGTTGCCAAGTATCTGGTCTCATGGTTCTCCGTAGCTGGCCAAGTCTTTGGTCTTAAAATACCCTTTGAAATGCTAAGTTCCATTGGTAATTAAACGTTATATGACTAATTATCCTGTATAGCTAATCGTACAGTTTGATCTTCTTAACCAGACTACATTCCCTTTTGTTACATTTGTTCCTTTCCAACACAAAGGAAAGGCCCCAAAATGGATTTCCGCTGATTCAAGTTGTTCCAAAAATGACATGAATGCAGTGGTAGTTACATAGACATCGTTATACAATGATTACACTTCCCATCCTTGGCTTAAATTTTGAATCATAGTTTGATGTTGTCCAGCAAAAAATTACCCAATAATAGGAGCATTCAATCTTTTGCCAAGAAAAAGGTAATAAATCGATTTCCAGGGAGACAGGCCAACTGTACTGATATCGCAAAACAATGGGATTTGTCTGCGCGAATGAAGCTGCTTTAAGTGCTCCAAAAAGCAGACTCGAATTTGATAATTCTAACAGATATACTGAACTGCTAGCCCCACAATGAACCATGCATAATATACATCAGAACCAAATACAAGGTCAAAGCACGGGAAAAAATCAACCTATGGGACCTCATGTAATTGCCTATTCCCAGACTTGTTAAGCAAGATGAGGTTGTATTGCGAATGGCAGACCCATACGAAAAATGCAGTCATGCAAGTCAATAAGGCTGAGCCCATTAGACGCTGAGTCCTCGCGTTGCTTCTCTGCTCGGAAGGATCAGAATTTCACCTCGGTTCGACGAAAACAAGCTAAAAATTCTACATTACCTTCCGCACCCTTTAAGGGAGACTCGATCCAACCCTTGCAACTGAAGCCGTAATCTTCCACACCCTTTATGATTTTGTCAAGCACCTGTACAAGATACGACGCAGCAACTCAGAACCAGGGCGATCAACTACTGTATTTGCTCAACAATGAGAACTTGCAAATATGAAGAAATGAAAAAGACTTCAGCCATTATTCAAAAGAAGCTAATAGACAAGTTCACAAAATGGTAGAAGAAATAAAAATAAAGGAAAATTTCAGCTCCAATTTGATTGATTGCACAATTTTATCCCTCAGTTAACACATACCTCTTGATGCACTGCTGGATCTCTCACAATGCCACCACTTCCAACCTGAAGGACAGTTGAATCTCCAAAATCAGAAACAAATACCAAACAAGATAGACTAGCAAAACATTTGCACAAAGATGGCCGAAACTCAAATAGGGTAGGAATGATGATGCTGGACTTTACATAAATAGAGCTACCAGTAATACATAGGTAAGGGATCAAGAAATAGCAAGGCTGTAAAGTTCCTGGAAAGGGATCACGCTGCCACTGATATGATCACATGAAGCTCAAATGTCTTCCATTTTCATCCAGATTTAAGATAAGAGAGGAAAAATGAACAGGACAACTCCTACCATGCAGAACCACTTCATCAAAGCTCTAGTATATATCATAGACCCCATTCATCAAATTGTGATCTATTTTTTCAATAGACACAAAATTCAATCAACTGATTCAAAAAATAATAATAATAAATAAATACAGAGACATGTATCACACAACATCAAGTAGAAACAAAATCAAGATTCGCATACTTGGGATCTACGAGCTTCAAATTGAGGTTTAATTAGAGTAACTAGAGTAGCTTCTTCCTTCATCACATTGACCACAGCAGGCATCACCTGGAGAAAGGAAACAAAATTATGAATTGAATATGTATCAAACCTGGGAAATCTATACCCAATACACAGTCAAACATCATGATTTAAGTCATGCAGCAATAGAACAAGCTTACCAAGAGTATGGATATAAACGAGAGGTCCAAAGTCACTAAATCAACCTTTTGTGGGAGTTCCGAAAGATATCTTAAATTTGTTCGCTCTATCACAGACACCCGCTCATCCTGGCGGATTTTCTCTGCTACCTAATACAAAAACAACCAACTTCAACCAATCAAACAATCAGCAAAGACACACACCAAAAAAAAAAACCTATCGTGGCGTAAAACTTGGAGTCACTAGCTTATGGATAAACCTCAAAAAAGGAGAAATATAGAGGTATTTTGCACAATTTTGCATCACAGTTTACCATTCATTAATGATATTGCTTTGTAATCTTTCTATTCTACTATTCTTTCACAGAACAACAAGCCTTCATCTTGAATGGATTATTGTGATTAAGTGAAAATTGAAACTATCATATACCCACAAATCTCCTCGATTCACCCATCAATGCACAAGTCACTTTATAGTGGACTTCAGGTTTACGTTAGAGCATAACAACATGATGCAAGGAAATTTTATGTATTAGCAATCTATTCAGTTATTTCGTATATATTTTATGCATAAGACCTAGAATAGCAAAAAGTCTGATTTTTAGAAAGAAAACCTGTCCATATCCAACATCTACTCCATAAACATAAGAAGCACCATACTGAAGTAAGCAATCTGTAAACCCTCCAGTAGACAATCCGGAATCAAGAGCTACTTTCCCGCTGACATCAACACCAAGTTGTTCAATGGCAGCCTCTAACTTGTGTCCAGCTCTGAATATCATGGTAAGAAAAGGTAAAATAAGTAATATGGCATTTGAAAAGTTACCACATACTATAGAAGCAAAAAGATGCCTTGTTTGGGAGTAATCACCTACATACATATTTAGGAATTTCTGCCTTGATCACTACAACAGCTTTATCAGGGATGGGAGTTCCAGCTTTATATACAACTTTTCCATCAACAAATACTTTGCCTGTAAATGGCAATAAATCAAGTGTGAGGAGTAGTCAGTTTACAAGATCAAAATCTAGGTGTAAAAACGATTGCAAAATTTTGAAAAAAGTCAAATTGAACAAAAGAATATTCATTGAAACCTAAGGAGAACGGAAACAAAATATCACGAGAAGAAAATGCAATTTCATAATTTACAGTAAAGCATAGAAAAGGCAGCTGAAGGAAGCAACAAACCTTGCAGGATCCATGACTGTATGAATGTCCGACTGTATTGTTGAAATCTTTCAAGACATATTTCATCCAATCTCTTTTTCCTGAAAATGGAGAAATGAAGCTATAAAGAAAAGTGTATGAAAAAGATTTTAAGACTCATACATGCATGTTTAGCAAAAATAACTTGGCTTTTCGTTTAGATAATAGTAAACAAAACCCAACACATAAAAAAGGTATTAAGCATGAGCCTTGAGATCATTCAATTTCAGGGAATCAAGGGCATCTGTGAAGCCAAATGTCTAAGGGTGGTCCAGTCTGTTTATTACAATAATTTGTTAAGAGCTGCTAGCGGCAGAAAAATCGGGGGGAGGTTTTAAGTATTTAAATTGGAAGACAACCGCATATAGAGAAGTACAAACTAGTTCTTCTGTGATCAACAAGACTTTTCAAGTTAAAACATGATATTGGCAGGATTTTCATAAACAAAGATGATAGGGCGAGAGAGCGAGAGGATACTTTTTCTGTGGTTGAATCTTTCCCGACTTCACAGCAGCAAAGCCTCTGACGCGACAATGCATGTGGGCATTGGACCATTTTACTGATCCAAACAATTAGAGAAGCGCTCAGAACTAAGAGAACAAACTAACTGAAACATGAATTACAGACAACTAAAGCTATCCTCCAGAAGTCCTAGCCCCAATTATAATGTCAAAATGACACGCTATAACGAAACACTAAAATCAAGCCAAGCAGTGCCAAACGGCAGTTGGGTTTCCAGAGGAAGGTGTTAACTGCGGTCCGAAACAACTAATAACAGAACACTTCCCTATACTAGTTAAGCATTGCAGAAAAGTTTGAATTTTTAAAACAATTATTGGTAAAAGACGAAATAAGTTGAAGCCGGCTTATCGCTATTGCAGAAAAATCAATAGATATTAGAGCATAGAACATAAATCAGAAATCGCATTATTGAAAAAGACGAAGTGGGGTAGCGCATGAGTGATTGAAAGGGGTTGGGAGGAAAGCATAAAACAAGAAAGTACCGGAGAAATGTGGAAGAGGACAGAGTAGTTTCGACGAAAAGTAAAGGCTCCTACTTCTTAGACGAATCAAAGAACCAGAATTGAGCGATATGGGCAGCTTCAGAAATTTTTTTTGTGTAAACGGCAGCTTCAGAATATTGTGTGCCATCTTCCTTAGTACTTAGCTGCTTTTGCGGACAACATCACAAAGGTTTTTGCATTTCTTGAGGAGGCGCAGGGGCAGTTGCGGGCCTGCTTGCGGGCGGAGGTAACTTGGAGGAAAAAGGGAAAGGAATAGGGAAGACAAATTCCTCGGATAGGGTCTAGCGGGGTAGCTTAAGACGATTGGTTGCCCTCGCGTTCGGCTGGCGAGTCTTGTTGCTTAGCAACACTGATGTTGCTGGGCTTGGCACGATTTCGGTTCAAACTCAACTACTAGGAACTACTATATGGAGAAATCGGCTAACAGTGTAAATAGCTATTTTATTAAGCCCTTCAAAATGACATTATCGAATTATTAGTGAAAATAAAGAGTGAAGACATATCCTGTGAGTTTTGACAGAGTCCTGGGATGAAACGGTGAAATTAAGCATTCCTTTTAACTGAGAAAGTTAATAGGGGATGTCAGCATACCACATCTTGGAAAACTAGGAAAAAAATCATATAAAATTAGTTTAAGTCAAGCACCTTTCATTCGCTAATTGTTGATTTTTAGAAGAAATAGAGATCAAAATGTATCTTTTTTTTTATTGTTAAAAGGTTTTTTAGCCTATTAAGTACGAAGTGCTCAATTGTTAGGTTTCTTTTTTTTTCCTCCCCCCTTTCCATTTTTTCTAAAGATTTTTTTTGGTCTTAAAAAGGGACAAAGGACAAACAAATTATAGGAAAAAAAGAAAGAAAATGAAAAAGAATTGAAAGCTAAGTGAATCAGTGAATGAACACAGCCCACATGCAACCAAGTCAGCTGTTCAATAGTTGAGAATGTGGATAAGGGATAAGGTTCCAAACCCCATTTGTCCAATGAAAATCATCCATGTAAAGCTATTCATCACTTGGAACCACGCATTTGTGAGCAAAAGATATTCAATTCCCAGTCAGAAATTACGAAACCCCTTTTGCTCTGCTCGCTGCTCAGTTATATTCTTGTTCTGGATATAGGGAATCTAAGAAAAGTTCCAAATGGCAACTGCTGCATCCACCACCATGGCCAGCCAGCTGCAGAGCAGCCTTGCTTCATCCCTGACAACTAGGTTGGCTACCCCAAAGGGCATCTCTGCAGCTCCATTCAGAGCCTTACCCT